CTACAACTGTAGCTTGCCTCCACCAGTGTGTGAATGTGAGAGTGAATGAATAGTGGAATTGTAAAGCGCTTTGGGTGCCTTGAAAAGCGCTATATGAATCCAATCCATTATTATTATTATCATTACACAGACTTTATACAGTAACATAAAAAGAAAAGAAATTATTTTGATTGCAGTCAAATCCATAAAAGCTAAAGTCACTTTATGTCTTCAGCACTTTATTTAAATACACCTTCCTACGGTTGGTGCTACTCTGCTCCACCGTATGACCTTCAACCACACAAACCCCGCCCCACAAAACATGGAGGTCTCAGATAAGTCTGACAGCACATTTATTTTTACTGTCAGTTTAAGGTTTATAGAGTAATGATGAATTTAAACATAACCACAGCTTTTACAAGGATACACTAATGTATCTTTAATGTAATGAACATGTGCAATATTCTCACTCTTGTCTGTGTCTTCACACACAGTTAATCACATCAAACGTAACAATAAAGAGACGCTTTAAATCTCACTTCACTCAGTGCTGTTTAATCAGCTGTGTGATAACCAATGTCCCTTCTAATTTTTTATGTGTCTGAGCGAACACACACACAAACTCCTTGAGCGGTCCCCTGGACCACTGTGAGCGACATCAGACATGTGCACTTTGGTCACGCCGGCATCTAATCCATCCAAGTTGCATGGTTTATTAAAATAATCAAATTACAGCATTTACATACTTTTAATTAACTGCTTTAGCCCACTTATAATGAAAATTTAAAAAAAAAAAATCTAGTCATTGACCTGTGTAGTATGTTAACACTATTGGAAGTAAAAAATAACTTGAACTCCAATTTTGAAAACAACTTACTTTTTTCTTTTTTTCTTTTTTTATAAAGCTCTGACTTGTATTATGAGTCTGTGGTCTGGGAGAAACTCCTGTAACTCTCTGTCTGCCAAATACAGCATATAATGACCAATGTTGGGCAATTAATTATATAGTTACTACTTCAAAAAAAGTAACTCAGTTTGGTAAACAACAAAGTTTTTTGCAGCTATTTATTTTTTTAATGAGCCAAGGCATTTTTAAATAAACATTTCAAACTATTTACAGAACAATCAGGTGTTCTGCATCAAATCTGATGCCACACAAATTATTTGTGCCACTCCAAAAAATAATTTCTGTTCACTATGAGATAAAAAAGAACAACAGCCTGATACCTGCAGGCCTGACAACAGGAGATGTATCACTCCTGTAACACCTGTAACACTCAGCAGTCGCCTCATTGTTCTGACACACACAACAAAACTATTGACTACACTACACACTAACTACAAAAGATTTGCGCTAAACGTCGCAAATCTCTCACATCTCAAAACACCGCCGTCACTCCTAAAACTTCCCCGCGTTTCTAAACAACTAGATGCCACGTTGCCATACAATTTTTTGATTGGTCGAATGGTACTTTTTTGAACGAATGGGAAATAGAGAGGGGGGTGGAGTTTGTTTTTGCTCACAGGCGGAGAGTGCTTTCAAGCCTTTTTTCTTATAAAACGCCATTTTCACCGTTTCTTCCCGCAGTAAATATAAACAACGATAGTATTCAGCAAGAAAACCAAACATTGCATATTTTTATCATAACTCTGGTTTTACGTGGCCTATCAACACAATTTAAAAACTGCTATAAAGTCCACACTTTCTCCGTCAATTGTTCCGTCAGTCCTGCTCACATTAGGACGCTGTCATAGCCTGTCAACCACGTTGATTAGCTGCATATATACGAATGTAAATCGCATTATTGGCTGGACTATGGGATAAGGTGGCATCGTTCTAATCCCATACAGGAGCAGCCAGTCACTTACTGACTAACACTGCAAAACAGAATTGTTAAAGTTTTAATTTTAATTTCAATTCAGGTTAGATTTGTTTTGTGCGCAAAGCCGATTTTCTGTGCGCAGACACCGTGCCAGCAGTGCGCAATTGCGCACGTGCGCAGCTTAGAGGGAACATTGGTGGTAACATCAGCACTTAATAAGGAATAAACTTAAACTTCAACAACATTAAATGCTGCTAGTTAAAAAAAATAAACAAACATCCTTTTTTACCCACATCCAGAAAATCTCTGTAAAGGAGGCGACTCTGTTCATTTACTGAGATCAACATATTTGCATATCAGAAATTCTTTTTCTCATATTTTAGACCTTTAGATTCATGTATTTATATAATACAGTGTGATAGTGAGTAAATGCTGATGTTCACGATTATACTATTCATAAGCTGAGTCAGCAAAATCACAAAGTTTATAACTAAAAGACAAACCTGCTGATTTTTGGACTGCAGCTGATTCTTCAGTTTCTCTGCTGCTACTTTCAACTGCTGGAGCTGATTGTTGATTTTATCTTTCTTCTTCCACTGCAGGTGAAATGATACATGAAGAAAGAGCAGAAGGAAGAAATGTTCATGTTTAAGACACAATAATGAAACACAACCAGAGTCAGATTAAAGGTGTATTATGTAAATATGAGGGAGCTGATGTAGCATGATGCTAACAACATTAAGTGTTGTGGGATGATGTGAACAATCTTGCAGTGGTAGGATTTCAAAGTTGTGTTTGGTTAATGACACAGAAGCTGCTGCTGGACAAAACTGCAGGAATATAAGTGCACAGCTCTGTGATCATTGGGAGGATGGCAGCATCACATGTGTCCATGTTTACCTCTGTGTGCTGAGAGATGCTTTCACTGACCTTTGAGTCCAGTGTAGGAAATATTTCCATCAGCTTCTTAATGAATTCAGCCGTCTCAGATTTGATCGTCTGTCAGAAAGAAAGACAGACAGATGTTGATGTTTCTGCAGAGCTTTGTTGATAAAAGTGACAAAATGATTGAAGCTCCACACTGTGAGCAACATGTTTCCAACCATCGTGTCCTCTTACTCAATCTGATTAGTGTGATTTTAATGATGCAGACTTTATACAATAACATACAAAGAAAATAAATTATTTTGATTGCAGTCACAAATCCATAAAAGCTAAAGTCACTTTATGTCTTCAGCACTTTATTTAAATACACCTTCCTATGGTTGGTGCTACTCTGCTCCACCTTATGACCTTCAACCACACAAACCCCGCCCCACAAAACATGGAGGTCTCAAATACTCTAAAGTCTGAGAGCACATTTATTTTACTGTCAGTTTAAGGTTTATAGAGTAATGATGAATTTAAACATAACCACAGCTTTTACAAGGATACGCTAACGTATCTTTAATGTAATGAACCTGTGCAATATTCTCACTCTTGTCTTTGTCTCTTTACACAGAGTTAATCACATCAAATGTAACAATAAACAGAAGCTTTAAATCTCACTTCACTCAGTGCTGTTTGATCAGCTGTGTGATAGCATCAATACTTAATAAAGAATAAACTCAAACAACAACATAAAATGCTGCAAATTAAAAATAAACATTATTCTAAATGTTTCTTCAGCTTTTCTGTTTTTGTCTCTTGCTGGAGCTGATTGATGATTTCAGCATTAATGTGAAATGTTTCATGAAGAAAGAGCAGAAGGAAGAAATGTTCATGTTTAAGACACAATAATAAAAACACAACCAGTCACATTAAAGCTGCATTATGTGAATATTTGCTGTTTGATGAAAATAAATAATGTAGAAGTATTTGTAAGTAAGTGAAGGAAATATCTCAGTTTGAATGTAGTGCCTTCCAAAATAAAAGTATCTTTTACTTAAAAAATAAATGCACAAAATCGAACATTTATCAAATCTGATTTTACACAATAAAGAAAATATTAAACATTCACAGTTTATTTACTATTTTATTGAGTGCAGCTGGATTTCAGTGTCATTAACAGGTTTTTCGTGTCTTGTGTTTGTTTGAATAATTTAACTTGTTGGAATCAGTTTTAGTTTTAAATGTAAAAAAAGAAAGAAAAGAAAAGAAAGGACCCCCTGATGATCCTCTAATCGCCTGAGCCAAGGTGTGGAACTGGGTGTGGGTCCCAATCAGCCAGAGTTTCGGGTGAGCTCATTGTGAAACCTGGCCCCACCTTATCATGCGAATTCCTGAGGTCAGATGGCCCAGGGTGTGAGTGGGCGTTAAGGCGTCTGGGAAGGGATCTCAAAACTGGATTATAGATATTCACAATGAACTCACCCGAAACTCTGGCTGATTGGGACCCACACCCAGTTCCACACCTTGGCTCAGGCGATTAGAGGATCATCAGGGGGTCCTTTTGTCCCTCTGTGGGGAGATACTCCCACCAGGTTTATATCTGGGACTCTCCACCATTTGACCTTAGAACTGAAGAAGCCTCTCGGATGAGAGGTGAAACGTCTTCAAGTAACTTAAAGAAGTCCAGACGCTTTTCTTTGCAAGCTCCTTTGACTACGATGACCTGGATGACTGAGAACCTTCACAGACAAATTTTTTTTTAATTTTCTTTTTTTTTGCCTGCTCAATCTCTACTTAAGTGATTCAAACTAACTACATTTATTAGAATTAAAATTTACACAGAACTAATGTTTGTATTCCTATTTACTGATATTATTTTATTATTAGTTAGCTTTGGTGATGTGTTGTCATCACACAAGGTCCAGTTCCCATCCAGGAAAGGTTTGATTATATTAAAAAAAATAACAGAGACTGTGGTGACATTACTGGAGTCATAATCTAATAATGATAATGTGAAACACATTATTTCTGTTTCATTCCTTTAAGTCAAAAGAGAATTCTTTCTACTCAACCTTAGTAAATGCCCAAAATGCAGCTAGTTTCTGTGTGGTAACTGTGTGCAGGTTTTTTTCTTCTTTTTTCTGTTGAGCATTATTTCAGGTAATTTAATTGTGAAATCCTGATTAGTGTTTCATCTCATTTCTGAAAACAATGAATATCTTGATATTTAACTTATTCATGTTCATTTACTCACGTATGAAGTCTGCTTCTTAGTTTTGGTAGAAGAGCTACTTGTATTTTGTTTTTCTGTCTCTGTTGTCATCAGAGGATACTCAGCATCTCCCCCACCAGGGTGACCTCTTGTCCTTCTGTTGGTGTCTTTTTGAAATTAAAATTAAATAAAAAGGAAATGCCCAAACTTGGATTAAAATATTAAACTTCTCATCAGAGTCTCAATGAAAACATTGATTTCTAGTAATGAAAAATAATAATTAATCAGTGACTTACTCATCAAGCTTTTCCTCTTTCTACGTAAAAGAACAACAGCTGATAAAATTAACAGGAGGATGCAAAGAGCCAAACTAACAGCCAAACCGATGATGACAGCAGAAGCACTGGACGGGATCTCAAAGAAATCTTCTAAAATCATTAAAAAAAAACCATTTCAATAAAACTGGAGTTCAGATATTCAAAGTCTTTCTATCATAAATGTAAAAATATAAGTTGAACCTGGAACATGTATGTGTGTCTCTCTGCTCTGGTTGGTGTTCCTCTGTTGGACTCTGCAGGTGATGTTGTTGCTGTGTCTCTTCTCCACAGTCACTCTGCTGCTGACAGTATAGAGGTCATCAGGACCTCTGAGGGTCTCTGTAGGTCCAGCAGAGAGGAGGTTTCCCTCACCGTCCAACCACAGCAGCTCAGGCTCTGGATACCAGCCTGCAGACTCACACTGTAACACCACTCCCCCTCTGTTTTTGTCAATCCCTGATAAACTGATGACAGGTGAGGTGGCAGCATCTGATGCTGAGCAAAAAGCATTTAAAGAAGATATTAATAGTTGAAAAAAACACTTTGTACAGTAATTCACAATTACTAAAATTATTATTATCGCAAAATTCTGATTTGTTTGTTTTTTTCTCTTTGTAAAGTTAATAAATAAACATTTCTGGGATAAAATCTTTCCTCATCTTGCACAAATATTAATTTCCACTGTAACTAAATCCACTACATCGTGAACATGTGATGTGTATCTACTTACCAACCACAAGCTTAACAAAAGATTTTTTCTCCATTAAAGGAATGCTGCATTCATATGTTCCTCCATCAGAGAGTTTGACTCTGGAGAGTTTCAGTGAAATGTTTCCACGCTTCAGTTCATTGATGAACAGTGATGCTCTTCCCCTGTATGAAGGATTTCTTGTATTCACCAGATCCTGACCGGATCGCCACACATGGACAAATCTTGGGTTCAAGTCAGATCTTGTCCACTCCAATATCTCAGCTGTCACATCCTCTGCAGGCTCCACGTGACATGGTAAAATAACATCATCATCAACTAATGCAACTACTGGTTGATGTGGACCAACCACCTGAGAATCCGCTGTAGACAGGAGACAAAAGAAAGAAAGAAAGAAAGAAAGAAAGAAAGAAAGATGTGTTTATTAATTTCTGCAGCCAGTTTGAATGCATATATAGTTAAAGATGACACTCAGAGCATTATTTTTCTTTCTCGTTTTAAAAATTTTGATGAAGATAAAAATGTTAAAAACATGTTTCACTAAAGAATTAAATAAACACTTGCAGGCAGGCAACAAATCATAAAAATCAAACTATTAACTACTGTTTGTACCAAATGTAACATATTTGCACTATTTTGTTTATATGCACTGTAATAAAAAAATATTATGCATGTAACATCAAACTTACCTCGATTTAAGTGTATTAGAAGATGGAAAATCAAAATACTGAAGACTTTGACTGGAGAAAGGGAGAGTGCATTTATCTGTGAAAGCATCCTCCTCTGAAAATACATCAATGATAAATACAAGTGTGGCCACAAGAGGTCATTAAAATCAACTTATTCAAGACAAAACATATTTTACATGTTATATGTTTTAATATGTCAAGTACTGTCATGAGGCCTTCAACATGCACTTAGCACTATAACTTTCTATTATCTCCAGAGTTAAGGCACCAGACATTTAGTTACTGATTGAAGTGAACACATTACTTCACATTAGTGCTAAATTGCAGCCTTAAGAATAACTTTTGGTCAGTGTCATCTTTAGCTTTGAGATGAACTCTGTCTGCTGCTGATTGTTTTGATTGTGTAACGGCCGCAAAGAAAGCTTAGCTATCAGATAATAAGGTTTCATAGATAGATACTGTATTGATCCACAAGGGAAATTGGTTTGTTACAGCAGCAGGATAAAGAATAAAAATAGTGCAATATAAAATAAACAACAAATAAATACAAAGTGATCTGATCAAAATCTGTGTTTATAGATTAAAAGTTCAGAGTTGGATAACCATATCTGATGTTTGCACATGTTCTCCTTTATTTCAAAAGATATCCATAATAAAAGTATTTTAAAATTTATTATTTATTGTTTCCATCTCATATTTTTCTGCACATGGACAAAAGCTGGTCTCACCATGAATTCCATAAAATAGCCGTTTATGAAAAGTTGGAATCACAACTGGTAAACTTCAGCCAAAAGAGACAGTTTGCTGTGAGTGTAGACTGCAAATTGACTTTTTAGCTGCTTGACTGTGCACAGCTGCTGTAAATCAGTCAACTATAAAATATTTACAATGTTTTAATGCCTTCACTTTTCTTTACACAAAGTAGAACATTGTTAAAACAGAAGAAAAAATACTTGGAAGAATGACTCTGCACAGACCTCTACAGTATACTTTCACTTTCAAAACTTTCTTTTCTGCTTTCAAATGAAATATTTTAAACCTTGGTCATTCATTTGTAAAATGTTTAATTACGTTTACACAGATTTATTTATGTCAGTGAAATAAATGATACTATAATCAGACTTTATAACTAGACATCAGAAAAGCATGTAGTACTTAAAAATAGACAATTTGAAAGAGACTTACCTGTGGAAAGTTGTGTGAGACTACAAGGGTGAAGTTTGAAAATCATTAACCTGCTGGCCTTACTTTGGCTTATCAACTCCAAATCCCTCATATGTGCTCACATCCATTGCTGATTCTGGTTAGATCAGTTGTACAGTGTGTCAAATGCTGAACTTTGAGCCTGTTATATAATCAAGATGAAACCATATCTGTCTTTGCAGTGTTCAAAAAGAGGGAAGCATTCACATGGTAGGTGTCAGCTATCTTACTGAAGGTGGCAGTAGACGACTGAATGCACACTGATAAGAGACTCAGGGTTAGCAATGACCAAATGAAACTTTCTGAAGCTTTTATTGAAAAACAGTTCATTACTCAAAGCTTTTCTAAACAGTCCTCTTTAGTGACATCTGGTGACCTAAAATATGAATAGCAGCTTGCATCTACAACAGGGGTAGGCAACCTTTCTGATGATGAGTGCCAT